AGACCTGGACGTTTTGAAGCAACGTCTGCAGCGAGCGATTCGCTTCGATACGAAGATATCGGACGCGGAGTTCCGCGTCGGTCGTATGTTGGACGAGCTGATGCGCTCGTTGGAACAAGACCTTTAGGAGTGGGTACCCCATCAAGAAGGCAAGATGGTCGTCGAAGTCATGACGAAATCGATCAAGACGGAGTCGCTGAAGACAGCGGTTCAAAAGCAGCTGCAGTTGCAGCGGAACAAGGCGTTGAAGAGCGACGTTTTTGGTTACGTCAATTGGCTGCGAACATTTGCAGCTGGCCACCAGCTGTACGTGGGACTCGACGACGAGTCCAAACCTTCCCCGGCAGCGAAGCCGGTAGAAGATCCACGAGGCGGCAAGCCGCATATGCCAAGACGTGACAGCCGCGGGGATGACGCCGCCAAGAACAATGGCAGAATCGGCGGGAAGACCGAAACGATCGTGCCCAAGAATGCCGAGCCCCCTGCCAGGAAGGGCTACTTGAAGTGCGGGGACATGAGTCATCGTGTGGCGCGGTGCCCGAAGACCACGCCTGGCGAAGCCGAAACGTTGTTGGCAGCGCAAGTCAAGCGCTGGAAGGATGGCATCAAGGTGCTGGTCAACCAGCCGCAGCAGACAGAGCGCGGCGTGCTCTTGGAGAATATCGTCCGCGTGGACGATGTACTCTTGGACTCTGGTTCGGACGTGACCATTGTCACGCGCGGCGTCATGGATGCGTTGGACGCAGCCGGTGTCAAAGTTGGGACCGTCTCCCATAGCGTGCCGCATCTGGCGTACCCGTATGGCAGTGACGCCAAACCAGTGGTGATGACGCGCAGCGTACAGTTCAACTGCGTGACGCTTGACACGACATGTGGACCGCTTGTGTTGCGCGGTCTGAAGGCCTGGGTCGACGACGCGTCGACTGCAACCGAACTCATTGTGAGTCGCCCAGTCATGGAGTTACTGGGCTTTCGCGTGCAAGACCTCCTTGTCGGAGCAAGGAAAAGAAGAAAAGAATGGGACGTTTCGTCCGTGCCGACGAATAAACTGTCCGGCATGGCGAATGTCAAGCGCCTGATGGCGGAGAAGTTGAATTCGCCGGAGCTTGACCCCGACGACGGGATGGAGTGTGCTACTCCGGAGGTTTATCCCAAGACCTCCACCGAGGACGAAGCGGAAAGCCGCCGCACGATGCAAGGCGCCGTTCAAGCCATTCTGACGGCCAAGGCGGCCGAGGCGGAGACGCGCGGGCTTGCGGCCGCACGACTTATTGGCCAAACACATTGATGTGTTCCGTGAAGACTTGGGCGACGCGATCCGCCAGTCAAGGTCGAGCCACTAAAGGTTCGGATCAAACCCGGCTCGGCGCCGGTGAAGTGTGGGATGCGGCGGTACCCGCCGCTACATGTGGTGTACATGCGCAGCCATGTGGCTGCCCTGGAAGCAAATGGTATGGTATACCAAAACAACCGGGCTACGTGGGCCGCAGCCCCAAGGATCGTGCCGAAGAAGGAAGTCGGCGACTTGCGCATGACGATCGACAGCAGGCGGATCAATGCCTGCACGGAGCCTATGCCTTGGCCGATGCCAAACCTGGACAGCGCGATGGTCTGTCTGATCGGAACGAACGTGTACTTCACGTTGGGCTGGACCAAGGGGTATTGGCAGTTGCCGCTGCATGCAGCCAGCCAGATATACTTCTCGTTCATGACGCCCTTCGGCGTGTACACCCCGACCCGCATGCTCATGGGACAGACGGACGCTGTCGCGTACTGCACGTCGGTTGTCCACCAAATGTTTGGTGAGCTGATGTTTCGAGGCCTGTTGGCCTGGCTCGATGACTTGTTGGGGTCCGCCAAGACGACGGATGAGCTGCTCGACTTGTTGGACCAAGTCCTGTCCATCTGTGCCCAGTTCGGACTCAAGTTGAGCCCGAAGAAGTGTCATTTCTTTCTGCGCGGGGCAGAATGGTGTGGCAAGGTGATTTCGGCCGATGGAATCACCCATTCCCCAAGCCGAATTCAAGGCGTTGTGGATTTGTCGCCGACGACGACCGCGGCCGATCTCCAGCAGTTTGTGTGTGCCACCAACTGGATGCGTGCGAGCATCCCCGGCTACAATCAGCTGGTGGATCCGTTGGGACGTCTGCTCGACGTGGCCACCAAAGCGGCCGGAAGCTGTAAAAAAAACGGCGTTAGTCCGGTTGCACTCCCTGCCGAGGGATGGTCGTCCGATCATCTCAAGTGTTTCAATGAGGTGAAACACGCGTTGGCGCATGTGGTGCCCCTGTCGCACCCGCGAGAAACTGCGTCTTCACGGACGCCAGTGACCTGTTTTGGGGTGCGGTCGCCACACAAGTACCCCCCGCGGACTTCGACTTGCCTGTCGACCAGCGGCACCAGCCGCTTGCGTTCATCAGTGGGTCGTTTTCTGGCGCGAGTGCGCGCTGGCCCATCGTGGAGAAGGAGGCCTATGCCGTGGTCGAGTCGTGCAAGAGACTCGACTACCTACCTGGTCGTACGCCCGGGTGGTTTCCGTCTGTTTACGGATCACCGCAACCTGGTGTACATCTTCAACCCAACGCCAACATGGCAAAGTACCAGGCCGACAAGCTGCAGCTATGGTCGCTGGTGATGTCGACCTTTCCGTACACCTTTGTGTGCGTCTCGGGTAACGCGAATGTATGGGGCGAACTCCTGAGCCGATGGGGTTCGGCTACGGCGGATCGACCAGTTGCGAATGTTCACAAGTTGATCCATGTGGTGCCGCCCCTGCAACAAGTGGATTTCGAATGGCCGACAGCCGCTACGATCAGCGGCATCCGACGTTCACCCATGGAAGGGGGAGGCCCCCCCCAAACGGCGTGGATTGGGACGACGACTCCCATTTTTACGTGGATCCAGACGGACGAATCTGGATCCCAGACGGTACAGCAGCGGATTTGTGTGATCGCTCACCAAGGAGCCAGCGCTCACCGTCGCACCGCAGCGACGACCAAGTCGGTGTCCGACAAGTTTGTCTTTCCACGGACGTCGAAGCGTTCGTGCGTGTCTGTTTGCACTGCCTGTGTATTGACGGAGAAATGGTTCCCCGTCCATTGGGTTCGGCGCTTCACGCAGAGAAGCCGAACGAGCTCATCCATTTCGACTGGTTGTCGATGCCCATTGCCAAGTCTGGTCAAAAACAAGTGCTTGTCGTGAAGGACGACATGAGTTGCTTTGTGCAGCTGTTCGCGGCAAGAATCCGCTGACACCGCTGTGACCGCTCAGTGCCTGATGACGTGATTTACCACGTTCGGATGCGTTGACACTTGGGTGTCAGATGGCGGCTCTCACTTCAAGAACGAAGTGATCGAGAAGGTGCGCAAGTTGGTGGGTGCCCACCATCATATCACGACAGCCTACAGTCCTTGGGCGAACGGGACTGTAGAAGTAGTCAACCGACAGTGCTGCACGCCGTGAAGGCGCTGCTCAGCGAGGTGAAGCTGAACGCGGACGAATGGCCGCATGTGTTGCCCCGCGTTCAAGGCGCCCTCAACCATCAGCCGGCGGACCGGCCAGGGGAGGAATTGCGCCTGTGACAGCGTTTACCGGCCTGGCAGCCAAGACCCCGCTGGCAGGATTTGTCCACCCGACGTCCAAGCAAGATTACGTCACGGACTGGCTTGTCACCGCCCGTCAGAAACATGTGACGGACCTCCAAGCGGCGCTAGAAGAAATGCACCTCGACGTGGCGGTGCGAAGCGACAAGTTGCGTCAGCAAGCGCGTGGACGCCGCGACCGAAAATCCCAAGTCAAGTTTGCGGGTTTTTCGGTCGGCGGTTTTGTACTTGTCGGATCGGTCGTCAACCGTCCGACAAAATCGGCCCTGCATTGGCGAGGACCCTGCAAAGTGACCAGAGTAATCACAGACCAGTTGATGGAGACTCAGCAGCTGGTTCCACCGTATGAAGTCACGGACCATCATGCATGCCGATTGAAGATGTACCACGAAGGTGGTACGCAGAGAGGTGACTGAAGACCTTGAGACGCAGATTGCGTTTGGCGATGGCGGATTTCATGTTGAGCGCCTGGACGAAACGCGCTGCGTGGATGGCCAACACCAAGTTTTGGTGAAGTGGCTTGGACTTGACGATGAAGAATCGTCCTGGGAACCTGCGGCGAATTTGCTGGACGACATTCCAGTCGTATTTCGCAAGTGGGCGGCGGCCAACAAGGAAGACCCTGCCGTGGCCGCCCTCATCAAGACACTGGACTTTCCGTAGGAGGGGAAGTGTTCTGCAGCGTGCAGAGCAATTGGGTCGCGCGTTAGTTTGAGCCATCGCAAACACACACACCCTGTGCGTGTGGCGTGTCAAAGGTTCCGATACCTTAGTGGAGGTACTGAGTAATTTAGTGAATGGTAGTCAGTAGGCGCCTCGTGGCGTGTTTAACCTCACTAATATCAGTGTGTATATTTGCTGCCTTGGCGAAGGTCCCGTGGCCGAAAGCCGAGAAGAAGCGGGAGACAAAATAATCCCAGCCAGGTCTCTCAAATGCTGCGGGGGGCAACCCCGCTACAGCGACATCCACAGAGTGCAACTTCGCTCGCTCATGGCCCTCCTCACCCCAGCGGGCACGATTGCAGGTGAATGGATACGCTGCCATCAAGACATAACCGACACGTCGGACCCAGTCCAACGTGCTAAACAAGCTCTGCTTGTGGATGCTGACTCCCTACTAGCACACCAGCTATTCCCACTCACGAACTATGCCCACCTCATTATCCTCGACTCCTGGGAACTTCGCGATGAACATGACCTGCCGGTCACCGGCGCAACTGCCCCCTAACTTGACGCTGTTTACAGTCGGCATGACTGACCCGCACCACAAGCCAGTAAACCGGACGCCGGCTGCATCCTCCAGTCCTTCCACCTCAACTCTGGAGACCTATGCAAATGGGACCTCCCCGCCCTCTCCTTCTACTGGCGGGCAATCTGCTACACCCTAGATACTAACGTGTGGAAGCACCGCATCCAAAAACACTGGGATGCCCACTGTCGTATGTGCCCGAACTCCCTAGACACGCAGGAACATCGCTTTGGGCTCATGTATCCGCAGTGCTAAGACGCGACTACACTCACTCAGGATCTCCTCCTCACCACACAAGCTGTCATACTCAAAGCTTGGCTCCCAGACGAAGAAATCTACTTTCCTGGACACTGCACCGCTAATGCGAGTACCTTCACTGGAATGACACGCCTCCAATGGCAGACACGCAATCGTCAGTCCTCCCCAAACTCAGGACACTGCATGACTCCTATCTCCCCGAAACACTGTGTTCTAGCCCTCCACATGCACCATCTCCTCTGACCCCCCTGCTCGGCGACACTCGCACTCGCTGACACCCAACTCCACTAGAAATCTACACAATGCCGGAAGCCGGATGCCTACTCCTCTGCTGGCTCTACCATACAGCCCTCCGCTGCCCATCACTTCTTCCACCCCGAGATTTTTCGTTGCGTCAGTGGATGGGTGGACCCAATGGTGCTACCTTCCAAGGCCCACTCGGAGATTTCCCCCACTGCACCATCTCCCGCCACTGGTGGATCGATGCGACCATCCCTTCTCCACCTCCTGGTGGCGCCAACTATCTGAGGACATTCAGACAGCCACTATCCGCAACACACCGGTCTCCTACTGGTTCGTTGTTCCCGAAGGCCCCCCGGGACACACGCTAGACGCCCGCCTCCCGACCAATGGCTTCTCACCATACCCTCGGGCCAGCTCACCCTACGTAGCCCCCTTCTATCTACCATGTTTCCACCCCCCAATGGGGAAGATCAGCACTAGCAACGCTGTTACCATTCACATCGATATCCTTACCACCGGGGCCACGCCCGGCTCCCGGCCTCAACGACATACCCACCCAATTCTACCAACAGTTCAAAGACTTACTCTCCTCATTGCTCATGCGACTCTTCAAGTACATCCTCCAAGGCGCCGCCCCCCAGCCAGCTTCAGCGAGCCCGACGTCATACTCCTTAAGAAAAAGGGAAACAACACCAACGTCCTAGATACCGCCCCATTGCGCTACTCATTTCAACGTACAAAACCTTCGCTCAGATACACGCCATCCTTCTTGAACGTCTCTTGGCTATAACCATCGGGCCCCAACAACAAGGTTTCGTACAAGGCCAAAATCATTAGCCTGTTACAGCATGCCTTAGCGTTCCAACATACGGACTCACTCACCCCGATCGATGACTCTGCGGCAATCATCTACCTAGACACCAGGAAGGCCTATGACAGCATGGAGCGCGCCCACCTATTCTGAATGCTTGACGCGATGGGCTTTCCCCCGCCTTTCATCAGCCTCCTGGACCGTCTACATCCAGTACATCTATGTGATACGTGGTCAACGGAGCCCGCTCTGCTACGGTCCCCCAAACGGCCGGCATCCGCGAAGGCTGCCCCCTCGCAAATTTTCTCTTCATCCTTGCCATGGAACCCCCCCTGTTGGCTTCCCTTCAGGCACATGCATACGACCACGGCATACTCATTCTCCACGGCTCAGGGTTTCGGGGTTTCGCCGCCACCCTTTCACTGCTCTGTAACGACTCCGCCATCTATATGCGCCACCTCCGCTCCATTCCATGGGTCTTAAGCCTCCTACGCTCCTTCAGGGACATGTCAGGCCTGCAAATCCAACTCCGAAAATCTTTCGGATTCTGGCTCAACACAGCCCACTCGCTCGATAGCGTCCACGGCATACCTTTCATCACCAGCAACACGCAAGGACGATATCTAGGCATCCAGGTCGGTCTGGGCTCTCTCGCAAACGTGAACTGGGGTGCCTTCTACGGTCACATGCCTCCAGACAGCAAAACGCACCAGAAGGCTACCCGAGCTCTAATCCTCAAAGCAAGGACTCAATCCAAGTTTATCTTTCTTACATCATACATCCCCGGCCTGGACTGCCTGCTTCGATCAGCTGTCCTACCGTTTTGGTGATTAGTCTCAATCACGCCACAACCAGGCCGCGTTCCCCCCTATTTCCCCAGAGCTCATCTTCAACGCGTCACGGGCTCCAACGGACTACCACGCTCGATAACCCCACACACAAGTTTTGGGCATGTCGGCAGGCACGACCATTTTGGGCCACCATTCTTCGGGTTGATCCAGACGACTTGATCCTCTCCCTCCTCTATGGAGTCCAATCACCGGCAGCATCATGGCTACTAAAATCACCGAATTGGTCGTCCCGCTGTAACATCCAAGATAACCTGACCCCCCAGGCATGGCAGCTCATACGAGCCCTCACGATATGCACCCTATGGAACGACCGCCGTGCGGCTCTCCATGACAACATGAGACAACTCACGTCTCCCAAATACTTCCTATACCCTCCAAGCGCTCTTCCAAGCCCTGACCTTCTATCATACTCACTGCCGTCGTCGCCTCGGCGCCGATCTCTACCACGACCAGATCACACGATGCAGCCTCCACTTTGCCCACCCTACCTCTCCACAGCGCGAACCGACCCTAATGCGGGAGGAAGGCCAGGTGTTCTTTGATGGGGCTGCCCGCTTCGATTAACATTGTTATCGCTCCGGAGGTGTCGCAATGTCCCCTGGCGAGCCACTTCTCTGCGTGTACAAGGCCCATTTCTTCTGAGCAGCCACCACGAATAACTTTGCCGAATATGACTAGCCTGATTCGGTAGACTTATGTCCAAACGAGCCCCAGACTGCACATGCGATTGCACATCCATCCCCACTGAAGGTATCACACCGCTCCCTCTCCGAGACCTCGCTACCGTATATGACTTCCTAGACCGTGACCTTGCTTTCAACCCAGGTTGATCCTCACATTTTATAAATAATATCCCCAAACATTTTTGCCATTACCCAGAACTTTGATTGTACTGTTACACACGCATTGCATTACGGATATTTGGGGATTACCCGGATGATTATGTTCCGATTTGCCTCCAACATGCCATTAGTGGAAAAAAGTCGGACAGGATATACAGGAACCAAGTGATCGTCGGACCGTTTGTCCGACTTTCTTGTTCGTTGTAATATTTATTATATACAAAAGCGAAGTCAATACCAGACGTGAGAAATTAACAGAAGAAAGTCGGACCGAATGTCCTGTATCCATTGATTGGTTAAAAGTGCAATGACCTTGGCAGGTGAACAACATAAAGTTTTGCCTGCAACCCGCCAGCTAGCAACGACAGTACAGTACAGTACCTTAGAGCCTGGTACTATTGGAGGTGTGGAGCATCCGTCAGGGGGATCCTCCCTCTGGCGGAT